CTCTGTTATCTTCAGCTCTTCTCACAAAAACAGCCGTGTCAGGCGAAGGGGACGACGATCCCCTACGGAGGACTGGCAGGCCATTTGGGGGCCTCATAAGAGATATCCAAAGACGTTATCCCAAATATGTCAGTGACATCCGTGATGCGCTGGACCCACAATGCATGGCTGCTGTCATGTTCATTTACTTTGCAGCTCTGTCTCCGGCCATTACTTTTGGGGGACTTCTGGGTGAGTTGTATGTTCTCTGTGATCGGTTCTACGTGTTGTGTCTCTCCATGGAACATGTCTGTCCGTCCCGCCGCGTCTGTCTGGCATGCTCTACGCTTTCACACCCCATGTTTCCTCCTCAGGTGAGAAGACGAAAGGCTTGATTGGGGTATCAGAGCTTATCATTGGAACTTGCCTACAAGGAGTGATATTTTGTCTACTGGGGGCACAGCCACTACTTGTTGTTGGATTTTCGGGACCTTTACTGGTGTTTGAAGAAGCTTTTTATACGGTAAGCTTTGTATAAAAGGTCACCCGGTGAATGTCGATAAGGAGAGCAGACCTGGGAAGCCTTGGGAGGAGGAGTTAGGGGAGAATAGATGACACCTGGGAAGCCTTGGGAGGAGGAGTTAGGGGAGGATAGATGACACCTGGGAAGCCTTGGGAGGAGGAGTTATGGGAGAATAGATGACACCTGGGAAGCCTTGGGAGGAGGAGTTAGGGGAGAATAGATGACACCTGGGAAGCCTTGGGAGGAGGAGTTAGGGGAGAATAGATGACACCTGGGAAGCCTTGGGAGGAGGAGTTAGGGGAGAATAGATGACACCTGGGAAGCCTTGGGAGGAGGAGTTAGGGGAGAATAGATGACACCTGGGAAGCCTTGGGAGGAGGAGTTAGGGGAGAATAGATGACACCTGGGAAGCCTTGGGAGGAGGAGTTAGGGGAGAATAGATGACACCTGGGAAGCCTTGGGAGGAGGAGTTAGGGGAGAATAGATGACACCTGGGAAGCCTTGGGAGGAGGAGTTAGGGGAGAATAGATGACACCTGGGAAGCCTTGGGAGGAGGAGTTAGGGGAGAATAGATGACACCTGGGAAGCCTTGGGAGGAGGAGTTATGGGAGAATAGATGACACCTAGGAAGCCTTGGGAGGAGGAGTTAGGGGAGGATAGATGACACCTGGGAAGCCTTGGGAGGAGGAGTTATGGGAGAATAGATGACACCTGGGAAGCCTTGGGAGGAGGAGTTATGGGAGGATAGATGACACCTGGGAAGCCTTGGGAGGAGGAGTTATGGGAGAATAGATGACACCTGGGACACTTGTGGCGGGGAGCCTGGAAGTAGATGAAGGTTGATGAGGTGAACCTGTTAATGTGCAGTAGGGGGATTCTGGGATTGGTCGGTAGATTTGGGTCACATGTTGAATGAAGATGTAGAAGAAAGAGACGGAGATTTGTCATGTTGATGTTGTAACTGAGGGAACATCCTAATGGTCGGTCTTCCTTTTCATGCCTTCCAGTTCTGCTCTGCAAACGGTCTGGAATACTTGGTTGGGCGTGTGTGGATTGGCGTGTGGCTGATTGTCATTGTAGTGGCCACCGTGGCCTGCGAAGGAAGTTTCTTGGTCCGCTTTGTCTCTCGTTTTACACAAGAGATCTTCTCCATTCTTATTTCCCTCATCTTCATCTACGAGACCTTCTACAAGCTATTCAAGGTGAGACGTTCCTCGTTCCCATCAGACGCTTCTATGGATCCCGCCATCCGGAGGTCCTACCACCTAAGTCATCTGATTTCACTCCTCGTCCGTCACCTCAGCTCTTTGTCTTCCTTTGTCCTCCATCCCACCCCCGGCCCCGGGAATCCTCACTTTCTGGCTTTTTTGGTTTCAGGTCTTTCAGGAACATCCTCTTACCAACTGTAATCCACAAAACCTGACCGAATGGGAGGAAGTGAATGTGACCAGCGGCTCATTACAGAACAGTACTACAACGCCCCCCCGCATTCTGGGACAGCCGAACACGGCGCTCCTCTCTCTGGTGCTCATGGCCGGCACTTTCTTCATCGCTTTCTTCTTGCGTAAACTGAAGAATAGTAACTTCTTTCCTGGAAGGGTGAGTGGCTGCTGGACTCTTGTACGGTCCTAATATCTATCGGTGTCTACAAACCGAGGCGCTCACATTGTCTCTTATGTCACAGAAATCGTTCTCAGGAACCTAAATCTAACTTACCCAAACCTAAACACCTAAACCTTACCAAGGAGCCTAACCCCAAACCTGATTCCTAACCCTAGCCCATGTTATCGTTCTGTCACTGATATCACAAGTCACCACAGGAGAAGCGCACCGAGATATCGGCCGGGACTTCCATTATCACTTCCTATTCCAACCATTCCCATTCTTCAAAACTGCTCCCTACCCCGCGATTCCTTCCCAGACAGAGCATGGCGGCTTCCTCAATAATCCAAACATATGGCTTCTAAACCTCATCTTCATACCATCGAAGTGTCACAAACTACCCCACCACCATTACTTACCTCTTCCTGTCCATCCCTCTACTCTGTATGACTCCACCTCTTCCTGTCCATCCCTCTACTCTGTATGACTCCACCTCTTCCTGTCCATCCCTCTACTCTGTATGACTCCACCTCTTCCTGTCCATCCCTCTACTCTGTATGACTCCACCTCTTCCTGTCCATCCCTCTACTCTGTATGACTCCACCTCTTCCTGTCCATCCCTCTACTCTGTATGACTCCACCTCTTCCTGTCCATCCCTCTACTCTGTATGACTCCACCTCTTCCTGTCCATCCCTCTACTCTGTATGACTCCACCTCTTCCTGTCCATCCCTCTACTCTGTATGACTCCACCTCTTCCTGTCCATCCCTCTACTCTGTATGACTCCACCTCTTCCTGTCCATCCCTCTACTCTGTATGACTCCACCTCTTCCTGTCCATCCCTCTACTCTGTATGACTCCACCTCTTCCTGTCCATCCCTCTACTCTGTATGACTCCACCTCTTTCTGTCCATCCCTCTGCTCTGTATGACTCCACCTCTTCCTGTCCATCCCTCTACTCTGTATGACTCCACCTCTTCCTGTCCATCCCTCTACTCTGTATGACTCCACCTCTTCCTGTCCATCCCGCTACTCCTCAACTCTTCGCTGTATGACTCCACCTCTTCCTGTCCACCCCGCTACTCTTCTCTGCATGACTCCACCTCCTACTGTCCATCCCTCTTCTCTCCACCTCTTCTCTGTATGACTCCACCTCTTCCTGTCCATCCCGCTACTCCTCAACTCTTCGCTGTATGACTCCACCTCTTCCTGTCCATCCCGCTACTCTTCTCTGCATGACTCCACCTCCTACTGTCCATCCCTCTTCTCTCCACCTCTTCTCTGTATGACTCCACCTCTTCCTGTCCCTCCCGCTACTCTTCAAGCCTGAATTCTAGATGTCTGAACATACTCTGATGCTTTGCGTGTCTTAGGTCCGCCGTATCATTGGAGATTTTGGGGTTCCTATTGCCATTCTTATCATGGTGCTCTTGGACTTCAGTATCACCGACACTTACACTCAGGTAAGAGACGTGTCCCTAACTGGCCATGAGAGGTGTTCCCATCCTCCAACCTGGATTTCTGACCCCTGTGAGGTCCTTCTATCTGCAGAAACTCAGCGTCCCCAGTGGCTTCAAGGTGACCTCCCCGGAGAAGCGCGGTTGGGTCATGAACCCTCTGGGGTCTGTGGAGCCGTTTCCAGTGTGGATGATGTTTGCGAGCGTCCTTCCCGCGGTCCTGGTCTACATTCTGATATTTATGGAGACGCAGATCACCACGTAAGTCCACAATCTCCCCCAACGTCCTTCCTCCATTCTCGCAGTGATGTCATGGGGGACGTTGTTCTGTTGAGGTAACTCCTCCTCCTCGTATCTCCCGACAGGTTAATTATTAGTAAGAAGGAGCGGATGTTGGTGAAGGGCTCCGGATTTCACCTGGACCTGCTGCTGATTGTCACCATGGGTGGGATATGCGCCCTCTTTGGATTGCCATGGATGGCGGCTACCACCGTCCGCTCAGTCACGCATGCCAATGCACTGACTGTCATGAGTAAGGCCGTGGCCCCCGGAGACAAACCAAAGATCCAAGAGGTGAAGGAGCAGAGAGTGACTGGCCTGCTGGTCGCCATACTTGTTGGTGAGCAAATATGGGCTCTGCTCAGTACCACTTCCCGTGTCCTGTATGTCGGGTGTCATTACAATTGCAGATTGGATGGACAGATTATTGTGTGTTTGGGGGGGAGGGACCCGGCTGTCAAGGGCTCATTGAGGAGAGTCAGGAGGGGGGGGGCCCCCTCAGTATTGGGAGGGGGAGGGGTCAGGAGAAGGGGGGGCCCCCTCAGTATTGGGAGGGGGAGGGGTCAGGAGAAGGGGGCCCCCTCAGTATTGGGGGAGGGGTCAGAATGTTTCATCCTCGGGGCTCTCACTGTGAACTCTTCTCCCCCGTAGGTCTCTCCATCGTGATTGGGGACGTCCTCCGTCAGATCCCCCTGGCCGTCCTCTTTGGAATCTTCCTGTATATGGGGGTCACCTCGCTGAATGGAATCCAGTTCTACGAGCGATTTAAGTTGTTGCTAAAACCCCCAAAACATCACCCGGACGTCATGTATGTGAAGAAGGTGCGCACATATGACATCACCATGATTGGCTCTCCGCTGAGTGGGTGGGATGGGGGAGGGGCAGATTTTGGTTCTTGTATTGAGTGTCATGGTCATCCTCCAGGTGCGCTCCCTCCGGATGCATCTCTTCACGGTTCTGCAGTTCCTCTGCCTGGCGGTGCTCTGGGTCGTCATGTCCACGGCGGCGTCTCTGGCGTTTCCCTTCGTCCTGATCCTGACCGTCCCGCTGCGCATCTTCCTGCTGCAGAGGATATTCACCGAGCGGGAGATGAAATGCGTAAGTCTGGCTCCACCCGCCTCTATGGTCCCTCCCATCTCTCTGGCTCCACCCTCCTCTCTGGCTCCACCCGCCTCTATGGTCCCTCCCATCTCTCTGGCTCCACCCGCCTCTATGGTCCCTCCCATCTCTCTGGCTCCACCCTCCTCTCTGGTCCCACCCATCTCTCTGGCTCCACCCACCTCTATGGTCCCTCCCATGTCTCTGTCTCCACCCATCTCTCTG